TCATCAACATATCCAACATGATATTTGTTGTTTTTAATGTCATTCAGTTATCATTACTATGATTGGAACAATAAAATAACCTCTTGATAGCTGTTTGTGCATACAGCACATAGATTTAATCAGAGGATAATCTATTGGTTTCAAATGTTTACTCTTTAATAATTTTCCTAGATCTGTGTTGACAGTTTTCAACTGAAACCTCAATCATGAAAAATTCTCGTCGAGCTAAATAATTTTACTTATAAGTACAAACTAATAAAATAATAGGAATATGGTTGTAAATGAAAATATCTGTTACATAATGCATTAATCGATCAAAAACCATTCATCCTTCGATAATGAATCGTTTTCCTCTAGAACAATTACGTCACGTTGAGTCTCTTGTGAAGTTCATTGTTGCAATTTCAACTGATTATAATTGACTTTTAACTCAGTTAGACGAGGTAGATTTGTGTTTGTTTCGAGCAAAAGTTAAACAGCATAATCGATATCCACTGTTATGATGTCAAGTAGTGTAAGATGAGAATAACATCACAATCATATGCATATATATTATCAAAGAGAAGAAAGAAAAGAAAAGCGGCACGACAGAAATATAGTGAGAAGATGAAGATGAAGATAACGATAATCATATAGATCTCAGATCATAACATCCATAATCAAATACAAAAAAAGACGATCGATTAGCGGCGACATGTTAATGTTTGACGTAAGCAACGAAAACACAGTGATCTTTTACAAATGTCAAATATCTTATAAATCCATATACGACGATTACACCATGGACATCGAAACCAAATGACACCAGGAGCAGCAATAATCGATGATGGGAACATAACATTTCCACTAGGATCTACCTTCAGAGCTTTGGCAAAATACTCGTCGGAAAGTTCGATAGCTCCATTTTGTTCGTAAATATCTGCCAATCGTGCAAATGATAATGCCAGCTCTGGATCATAACGTGGTAGCAAGCGTTGATCAATATCTGTTCCTATTTTGCAGAGTTCAAGGGCAACTTTGTAGTCACATGAACGAATCATGCAAAATTTAGCCATTTCCGTGTGAACAAAGGCGATATCTGGATGATTTTTCGGCAAATATTTCATTCTAATTGTTCATGCGCTTTCGTAGGACGGATATGCCCGTTTGTAGTCTTTCATTGCATAGAAAAGATAGCCCATATGTTGATATACCGTGGCAATGTACAGAGACTTTGCTAATCCAACTTTTCCTAGGTCTTGGTCTAAGATGTTCAGAGCATTATTGTAGAAGTATAACGATCATTCATAGTGCTTTTCAACATCAAAGACAACTGCTATGGCAAAATATGCTTTTGACATTTGAAGCTGCTCTGGAGAGGACCGTTCTGCAGTTCGATCGATTAAAATACCAAGCATTTTTTCAAACCATTCTAGAGCTTTTTCATTTTTTTTCGATATAGAGCAATCATATCCATTTTGTAGTAACATGTCGTCAATTGTAAGATGTCATTAGTCGTCTTTGTTTTTACAAAGGATAATTCATATAGAGTACGTTTCAACAACCTTTCTTGGAAATCGTCTTTCGTGTCATCCAAAACATCGGCAAGGGTAAGAACAGGTATTTTTCTATCGACTAAATCACTGCTTATTCTCTTCATGAAATCTAATAGCTCGTAGAGTTCATGCGCTTCTGTTTTACTTAATATCATCGAGATAATGAAAATCGAATTTTCTTGATGTATTGCAACCAAACGAAAGGCACAACCGAGCATAAAGAGAACTTCCTTTTCGACATCATCGAAATGGCTAAGTTCTGCAATATCGACAAAAGGTTTATCCACGTCACATTCATCTGAATATGCGTCAATTTCAATAAGTACAGGAATTAAACCGTTCTCATGTGCCATTTGCGAAGATTCAAGGTAAAATTCGGCCAGATCTCGGTTCATACTTGTGGAAAGGAAAGATCTCATCGAAATAAAACAGACGATGGACTCGTTCAATTGATCTAGCTCTTCCATGCGCATACACTGGCCTCTATAAACTCTTACATGTGAATTGCACCGATAGTGGATTAACTGTCGTTGCAAATCACGGATAAAGAAGCCAAAAAGAAACAGAAGTTCAACATCTTGAGTCCGAAGTGCTTTATTTAAGGTTCGATAAACGAATGAGTCTCGAGTATACCAATAGATTCCGTTGTTCGAATCATATGTCTCATAAAACAATCTGATCTGCTTTAATTGCACCTCATCATTGACGGCTTGTTTTAAGTGGACATTAATCAGTTCATTCTTATCGGTCGGTAGAGAATTCATGTGTAATATTGTGTGTACGAGCATATGAGAATGTAGGAACGTTCGATCAATATTCATTGTAGACGCATCTTGCCTTTTCTTGTCTTTTCTTGTTAAACTACCGTAGGATAGATTGCTGATAAAGCGATGTCTGCGTGCTTGAAATACTTCGATACTGGTTAACAGTTGATCCAACGGAACATATCGAATTTTTAGCTGCAACAAGGATACTTTTAGAAAAGAAAAAGAATAGACATATCATCAAAATCGGTTTGTATGTTATATTTTATTTTCTCTGGGAAAAGCAGTTATTTTCACATCAGTTGGAGCTTAAAGCCGATTTTATAATTTGTATATTGTATCTTACAATCAATTGGCATAGTAAATCAAGATAAAATTGCCGATTTTTACTACATGAGTTAAAACGACCACTTACCGAATTTTTATTTTCATTGATATCACTGTCTGTTTGCATGGTGAAATAAACGAAAATGCAACCCACTTGGCATAATGGAATCATTTGAGGTATTATGTATTCGGACAAACATTTATCAATAACTAGGATAATCTTTTCTGCCAATGGAAGATCACGTATATAGTCTTCACATTCACGTTTATCATCAAATTGAGTAACTTTTTCCGTAGTTTTCAATTTATTTAGCACGATGGTTACTTCAAGAAACAGAGATTTAGATGGATCATCCAACCATATGATAGATAGACGATTTTCCTCAACATGTTTGCTCTTTGTTGTACTTTTAACATATTTCAATTTTGAAGGTAATGAGATTCGCCTCTTTATGTTCCCCATTTCTTGATGGTAGACCTTCGCATTTGTTGTCTACTGCTTCACATATATCTTACTTGCTTGTTTGCACAACATCAAAATACACGTATTTTATGTTTTTCGTTTTCTCTTGCGCATTTTACTGAATATGTGATCATATTTTCATGACGCACACCAATGCAAACCTTAAGATAGGGAGTTTTCAAGGCAATATTTTTGCTCTTTCTTTTTCTTATGTATATCTGTTTCTTGGCGACATATCAAAGATTTGAAGAGCTCATCTAATGTATATCAAAACATTTTTCTAATTTTTTTACATAATTCAAAGTGGCATCATATGCTGAATCCAACAAGGTTTAAATAATCGAATTTTTTTAAAAAAGAAAGAAATAATTAGTCATAGTTTGAAGAACTTACCTACTTGGTCCGCTAAACAACATGAAACTCTGATTGAGTCAAAGTTATACTTTAAACATTATGTGATCGATTGACAATATTGGTTGAAAAAACACTGATAAAATGAATCTCACTGATGAATAGAGAACTCGCTAGTTAAAAGCCTGTTTCAATAACACTCTGATGTTGGAAATCTATGTTTGACTGAAATCATAGCATTGGAAAGTCTGATTGAACGGAGATATAATACAAAATAAATCTGATTCGTTGACAGTAAGGCTTAAAACATAGCCATCTTATACAGTTGATCCAATGTTTCAGAAAAATATGAAGGCACGTGACTATACAGTTGGCTGTAACCACACATACTTCCAAAGGCACATACATGCATACAAACTTATTTAATTTTTTTCCCATACGATCCTCGCTTCAGTCGAGAAAAAATCACTTTTTTTCGTATAAAAGTCTTTTCTTGATGAAAAAAAATCGAACTCAAAATTTTGAGAAACTGACTATGGATTTAAGCACACTCATTTTATTTCATATGATTCATTCTTTAGTGGAGGGACTTATATCAATGTCATTCTCGTTTAAGTCAATTATGAATCCTCTCGTCAACAATATTCCTGGCAATTCACGTGTGAATAATAGAACTCGTTAACAACATTATCATGATGTTTCTCAGATTTGTCAAAAGCATAGAAGATCTATATGAGCGTTCGTACGAAGAATTTATCATAACCAATATTTTTCAATTTGTAGTAATGTGTCAATATTTTCAACATGTTTATGTTCGAAAAACAGATATTTAGAGCGTATATACTAAGAGCCATAGTAGTTCTTTTGGCGTTTTCTGTTTCTCAAAGTACCTTTTTATTGAGTTATAAATAATTTTTATCACCATTGTAAGTAAGCACGAATATCCTATCATCAAAGACAGTTGCACAAGTAGCTGTTCGTTTAGTTTATCAAAAATAATGAGACAACTTTCTTCCTTGAAACATCCGTCATTTGTTTGTGTTAGTGTGCTCTCTACTAATTATCAATTAAACCCAATTTTTCTGTCATTTTTACCAACATTTATATCACGCACATTCGATAATTCTATAACAAAAACGAATGGAGAGTCATTATTTCTTCATTTCTCTCTTTTCATGCTGATGTTCTCTCGATAAAATAAAATAACAATTGTGATGAACTAGTGTACAAGGTCAAAACAAAGATGACACCATGGATTATTTCATTTCTTGGCTTTTTATCGCAACAATTGGCTATATATTTGGGAATCTTGCTGTTCATCGCTGGTATACTTGGTGGACTTCTGACGATCGTTGTTTTTCTTAGTCTACGCACTTTTCGCGAAAGTTCATGTGCATTCTATTTGATCATCATGTCAATTTTCAATATTGGAAATTTACTTGTCGGCCTACTTTCTCGCATACTGATTACTGGTTTTGGCATCGATTGGACACTGAGTTCTCCATTCTATTGTGCCTTCAGATGGTTTTGTCTCCACTCTGGTGTGTTGATCTCTTTCACAATGATTTCTTTTGCGACCATTGATCAATATTTGGCTACTTGTTCTCGTCCTGGTTTGCAACAATGGAGCAACATTAAACTTGCTCATCGTCTGTCCGTAACATCGATCATTCTTTGCGTTCTTCTTGGAATTCCTTATATGTTTTATTTCAATATAATTGAACAACCTACAACACATAAAATAGTTTGTACAAGTACAAATGCTTATTTTTTCCGTTATCATGTTTATGTTTATATAATATCTCTTGCCGGTGCTGTACCAGTAACTGTCACAGTTCTCTTTGGCTCTTTGGCGTATCGTAACGTCCAACAATTGGCTCATCGAACTTTACCATTGGTTCGTCGTGAATTAGACAAACAATTGACAACCATGGTTCTTGTCCAAGTTGTTCACAATTTCTTTGCAACAATTCCCTATACGATTGTTACTGCTATCGTTAATAGTCCTCTTCTTCCGAATGACCCAGTTATTAACGCACAAGTCCAATTTGCCAATATTATAACTATCTATTTGTATTATCTAAATTATGCAGTGAGTATTGTTTGCTGATCAGACGGTCTGAAAATGATTTTTTTCTTACGTATATTTAGAGCCCATTCTATATTTATCTCGGTGCATCCGAACGATTTCGTCATCAGCTAATTTATGTTCTATTCGAAATTCATCTTAAACGATGGCGACGACGAATAGCTAATGTTGATCAAATGGATCCACAATATTAATAGATATCAATGAATGCTTTTTATTTGATATGTCAGATATTTTCATATTGACTGTTAAAAAAACATGTTTAAAGAGAAATCATCTTGAACTGGAAATGAACATATTAGCTAAAAACTTTCACTGATCCTGTTAGACTCTGCACTAGTGAAAGTCTTTCGATGACAACATATTAGGCTTCAAATTGAAGGATACAACTTTTTGAAAAGTCTTGCTGCCTAAAATATCATTATGTTTGCTCCCTAACACTATTTCAAATTTCATCTGATTCAATTAAAATCCAGTCAATACCGTCTTTTTTTTCTTTTCTTTGTTCAACATCTCGTCATCATTGTCGAGTAGAAATTGTATAATCGAGAAATAGAATCTTCATCGATAGTTATTTCGTTGTTAAATTGACAAAATTGTGGAAGAGAAAACGTGTGCAATTCTACTGAGATATTATTCGAATAAATTTGAAAGTTTTTTTCTGTGCTAGTAGTATACAATATTGGAGACTGGTGACAAATGAGAGAAGAATTTTGAAAAACGTTTAATTTATAGTTGTCCTTTCATTTGATTGTCCGAAAGAGTTCTGAATAGTCTAATGTACGATAGTTTCCAGACTTCACAGTGGCCCTTCTTGATTCTTATTTTTGTCCTAATTCATTAAATATATGTTCGTCATTACTAAGAATAAACAAATTCTAGTTGTGCATGTGAGATGCCGAAAATGCAAAGTAAAGCAGAATTTTTTTTTCTTTTAGAAAAATCTTCTTGGCTTTTTTTCGGTGACTTGTTTTTTTTTTGGTTTTTATAAAAAACGTTCATTTTCAATAATCAACGAATTTTTAATATTTTCCATTTGATTAAAATTTCAAAACTATTTATTTCAGATTCAGCATGAAAAATTGAATCTTAAAAAGCTATTCACGAGGCTATTCGGATATGACGCTATTACACAGAATGCTAAAAGGGTCGCAATTTCGGAGAATACAAAGGTGTGAGTGTGGATGCTAGTCTCTTGTTTTAATCAACGCCCGTCTATATCAGGTATTCATTCTCGACTTTACGAGTATATGGATAAGAAAAACACTCGAATACTATATGTGAAAGTTCTAACACAAATACACACTCATAGGAAGGTTTATATTTAATTGCCTTGATTGCGTCTTATGTTGAAATGCATCCGTTGTTTTGTATTAATCTTCACAGTTAAGAAACTACTAAAGACACCATTTAGTGTAGATATACAAAAAAAGGATCATCAGATAAAGCTCAAAATCTATCATTCTGTGTAATGATTTTCAAGTTTGTATGTTAAGAAGGTTCATGTTTTGACTCACACCTTCTTGTAGTTAGTACTACTATGACAACCGATCAGACTTTGCTGATGGCTAGTTCCATAAACAGGTCTAAAACGAACTTTCTCTTGATCATTGTCTTCTGCTTGAAAATAGCAATACTCAATAAGAAGAAGAGAGACCTCAAAAAATTATAAAATTGGTTGGTTTCTACATTGACCGATCCCCTGTTGTAAAAGGTCATCAGGCAATTCGTCGTGCTATAACATATAAACATGTACGGCATGTGGCGAGAGAACATTATCGAGTGTCTTTGTCTAACAAGAAAAAAGAGTAAAATGGATTTATTGTCCTCTTTTTTGAATTATCTTTTGGATTTTCTAATTTTTAATCGGTATATAGTGCGGGTTGGAAGAGAGCGATCTAGATACAGTGATGAAGTTCGAAGTGAAATTACTCTCATCAAACTCTGACAATCGATCTGCACTGGTATATCTTCAGATGATCGAATTGTGTATGCCAGAGTAGCTTTTAGCCAATGGTCTCTAAATCGATCAATTAAGCGATTTTTTAATGAGACAAAAATCTTTTACAATACATGTACTTTTCTCTTTTGAATCTACGTTTTTCCTCAACCTATCAGTGGGAAAAATACTAATCCGATCCGTTTCGTTTTTTTCTTACACATATAAAAACGTGTGTTTTCGATGACAAATCATTATTTCTCTTATGCGAAGCTTTAACAATGTAATCTGTCAAATGCGTTGACGCAATCTATACGACGACTCGAAGCAATAATAAGTGACGTATTAGTTAAAAAAGATCAAAAACAAGTTAGAAATATTTCTTTCAGAGCAGAACACATGATAGGGACGATTGAACTCAATAGGAGAACATGAAATGGCTGGGTTGATACTTATTGATATTCTACGAAAAGAATAATTCTGAAAAATTCCTTGTATTGTCTATGCTATGACTTAGAATTTGCTTGTCCAGTACGGTCTAAAATAACAGTTGATTAATTTTCGAAGGAGAAAAGATTTGTACACTACCAAGGAACATAACTATATGTTTTATTAATGAATTATAAATATGGTATATGATTGATGAACATCAAATCGAAATCAAGTATGTGAACGCATACATGTTAAATGAAACATTTTTCTTCATATCTGATAGCGAACCGGATCAATTTCAAAGTCAAACAATCCAATTGTTATTTTCACGAAAAGTCAAAAACGGTTTCGATCGTCATTTTAATATTGTTTTTTTCAATAATCCAGAAGGTTATTTCGAGCTTTACATTATTATTTTCATCGATCTAGTTTGTTTTAAGTAGCATGAGATGAGGAAGAGGTTGATTATCAAGTAATATATCGAGCCTATCAAAATATTTTGTGTTCATTTCACATTGAATTTTTAGTGAACGAAGATTTGGAAAATATCGCACGAGTAACATGATGTTTTGCAATGAAGATATTTGAATATTGTCGAGAATTAAATGACGTATATTTGGATAAATAGTCGAATGCGTAGAAGATTTAGGCTTTTCGATTAATGTCAATATATGAATGTATTGTCCAATCATTGAAACAACTTCTATATTTCTAGTTGTAAGATGACAAAGTCGAGGAAAACTACCAGAACTAAACTCACGCTTGCATAAAACTGTTGAGTGTATTGATTTTCGGGAAGCGTTGAGACAAATTTGAACATGGTTTGTCAACTGTAAGATCAAGAACATTGAGAAAAATACTCATCGTATCCTGATTGGCCAACATTGATTTTTCCAATTCTTTGAACGATCAAGGTATTGCATATGTTGTGGTCGAAATTAAAATTTAGTCCAATTTTAAATTTGCCTAGGCAAAGCTGGAATTTTAATTTTGTCCAGACGAAATTGAAATAGTGTTCCGATGAACAGGAGAATATATATATAAGCATCCACACGTAATATCGTTAAAAATGATGGAATCAGATTCAACAATCGTTCAAATGAATAATGATGAGAAAATTTATTATGAGAAAGTGGATGAATATATTAATTCATTAGATAAAAAGTTTCGTGAAAAATGTGTTATCAAGCAACAAGTTTACGATGATATCCTGAAATGCTTACTATTACCAAAAGGTTCACCACCTGATGCATATTCATCAACATTTGTTTATTGGGTAAAACATAAATTTATCTTAATTAAAATAGCTGTTATTAATATTGTTGCTTGTATTAAATCAAAAAAAAACAATTTATGTTTATGAAACATTTTATAATGTTATAAGTGAGGCGCACGCTACTGTCTCACATGGTGGTCGTGAAAAGACTTGTTTTGAATTAAATTCGCAATATTCGTGGATTCCTCGATTTTGTGTTGAAATATTCTTAAAACAATGTCTACCATGTCAAACAAGAAAACCACTTAAACATGTCGTCTCAAAACCTATTATTTCATTAGGAGCAATGCACGTCTCCAAATTGACTTAAGCCCTTCCCCCCCCCCCCCCCCCTCTCAGAAATGATTTGCCACTTCGAATGGGACTTTTGAGCTGAAAATTTCAGCGATGAGTGATCCTGGAGAGATACGCCCCCGGTAAAAATTCCTGTCTGATTGGCCATACTAGACCGGAGTTTCAGCTGAATCATAGATCATTTTTGGTCTTGAGGAGAATCGATATAACTTCGTCATAATACGAGATATCGAGCTCGGGCTGGTCTCAAATTAAAGCTAATGTCAGTACGCAACTTTTATCCGAACAGAATTTTTAAATTCAATCTTATTGATTTTTTATGATCATTTTAGTGGCAGGGTGTAAAAATCAGCATAAAAAATGGTGATCCAACGACAGTAAATTCCACTTTTCTCATCACAGGAATCGACTTTAAAAAAACTAGCCGGATAAAAGTTTACTCTCACTGAGAACTTTGAAACAAAAAAAAATATTGGATATAGCTCGAGCCAAACGGGAGTTATTTCAATTTTTCTGTCTGGGAACCGTGTTTTGAGAAAACGCTAAAGAAATTTTAGAACTGGATTTTTTCATTCAAATCCAAAAAAAATCATATTACAATGGTATATTATTGATTCATTCCAGTGGACCGTTTTAAAGCACGTAAGAGTCGAAGGTAGCTAACGCCATCTGTCATGCTGGGTAATATAAATATGTTCTACTCAATGCTAATGCAAGTGGCAAGGCATTTTTTCAAAAACTGAAAACCTTTAAAAACCACGAAAATTTCTCGGAAAATATGGTGGCAGGTTCCAAGTTTCATGTAATAAGTCTTTGAAAATCTGATCATTTTCCAAAAAGCCACATATATTCTGAAAGAGGAAGCTTCGCTGCATCTTCCTATGATAAAAACCCAACTTCAATATTTCTTCGAAAAATTGGATTTTCTAAAAGGGGGGAGGGGGAGCCTCCTTAATCGACATACGTACAAGTCCTGATAAAACATCACCTGATATTACTTATTCTTGGATTTTAAATTGCATCGATCACTTTAGTAAATTTTCATGGGCCTTTCCGTTACGAAATAAATCTGCTAATGAAGTTGCAACAAAATTACGTGATTTATTTTTTACTTTTGGACCACCACGAATACTTCATTGTGATAATGGCCGTGAATTTATTTCGAATGTTATTACAGAATTAAAAAATCTGTTTCCAGATCTAGTTTTTATTCGAGGAAGACCAAGGCATCCGCAAAGTCAAGGATACATCGAAAGAGCAAATGGAATTTTATGTGATGCTCTCGGTAAATGGATGTGCACTAATAATTCTACAAGTTGATCTTTTGCTCTAGCACCAGTTATTTGTGGTATTAACACAACAATGTCTTCTGTAACCAAAACAACAGCATATGAAGTGATGTTTGGACAACAACCTCGTTCCGATTCTGATTTTTGGAAGTTAATTCAACAGAACGGTGTCGAAGATGAAGAAAACTTACCAACTCCAGTTGCTGAATTAAATGATGATTTAAATGATGATCAAGGTGATAGTTTAATTAATTTCGACAAAGATATTGATGCTGACCTAGTTGATCTTGTTAATAAATTATCTAATGATGCTGTTTCTTGTTCATTATCTAACACACCATCAACACCCAGATCGCTATCAATTGCCGAAAAAACATAAAAAAACATGATTTGGTTCGCAAAATCGCGACAGATGATTATTTAACAACTGCTAATAAAAAGATGAAATTATATCAAGATAGTTTAAATCTTATTGCTAATAATTTTAATATAAATGATTGTGTTGGAATTGCAATTCATACGGTTGATAAAACAAATACCGATCCAAAACATTTACCATGTTTAATTATTGAAAAAAACGAAAAAAATAATGTTTCTTTGTATAAATTAATTTGTCAATATGGTATTTCACAAAACACATTTGAAGCCGGGCAATTTATGAATTTAAAAGATGCTTGTTCCAATGAATTGAAACAAACTGGTGTTAGTACTTTAAAGCCAATCGCCATCATTGAAGATTCAAAACTTTATTCTCGTGGTTCTACAACTGGCCGAACTTGTAATTGTCAGGGCAACTGTGCAACAAAATCATGTTCATGTAAAAAAGAAAACGTTTTCTGCTCAATCAAATGTCATTCGACGAGGGGGGGGGGGTGTTCAAACATGCACTAAACTAATTTAGGACTCATATTGTGTGTATTAAATAAAGATTGTAAAATAAAAAAAGCCTTTGTTTGTACTTTAAATGTTTCTTTCTTGACTACTTTCTATTCATCGGAACACTATTTTAATTTTGATTAAGAACATATCGCACGAAATTATAATTTCAATTTTGCCTCGACAAAATTAAAATTGGCTGAATTTTAATTTCGACCACAACATATACATATTATCTATTACAAGAAACATCCCTTAAAATGAAAAAAATAAAATGATTCATTCCTCTCTAAGTCTTATCGACTTCTGATTGTGAATGGAGACATCGATGGAGTGATTCTCTTTGTTATTGTTCGTTTTCTCTTGTAGTGATGTGGTCGAATGAACGTAGTGTGTTTGTAAAAAAGCGTTTCTTTCTGACTTTACGTGGTTGCAGCATTTCTGCTTGAAGTGGAACAATTTCTCTCTGATAGGGGATATGGTCCAGCCCTCAACGATAACAGATGATAACAAGATTGATTCCAGTCGAGGGTTAAGAGAGTCCTGCCGACGAGCGTTACATGTTAGTACGATACGAAAAAACAGGTATATTATAAGCTTAGTGATACTATTTAAGAATACAAAAACTGACTTAACACTAACGATAAAAACCACCCTCTAAGGAAAATACAATTTCAAAACACTTACGATTGCTGTCTGTATTATAACAAATTTTGGGTGCTGACGACCAATATAACACTAATATACCAACTTTATTGTATACTACAAATAAAAGCAAGACGTCACTGACATGTACACCACTAATATAGGTTCTGTTTGTGTGCCTTCATTCGTGTCCGTGAAATAACTGATGATCATATATTAATGAGGTGCGTTGTTTATTTCATATAATTATTATCGTCTTTTTGCTTGCTCCATCATTCATTAATGATATATTAATCAGATACCTCTTTTTTCCTTCATAAAAATATCATCGTCGTTTTGCTTCTTCTGTTAACCATCCTTCGAAAAGTTTGAAGCATGCAAACTAGTGTGAATCGAAGGCAGCAAAATTATGCAATATAACACACTTTTTACCTGGTTTTTCCCGTCACTGCAGAGTTTCAAAACAATATTACCATTTCACACAATACTATACCGCTGAATACCATAATCCTGGTTCAACCAAGTCGGGGTGTGGGTCACTGTATGTGTTAGTTTCCTCTGATCTGCATTGACAATCAAATGCCATACCGAAACTCACACCCGCACCCACTCACAACCACCCACCCACACCCACACCCACACCCACACCCACCCACATCCACCCACCCATACCCACACCCACACCCACATCCTAACAATCAATTATCAGCGATCAATTTTCATTCAACCATATTTTCATCTACCAATTTTCAGTTTCTCACCTATGGATGCATCTTGAGAGAAGCAGCATATGTGATGATAGTGTGTATGTGTTGTGAGAGAAGAAGCAGTAGATGCATTTGGTTTGTTAGATTCTTGCTGCATTGGTTTTCATATAAAATGAAGATAGATAAACCATTGTGAAATTTCTTAGTGCTTTTTGCTCATTTTATTTTGTCAATTAAAAATCAGACTGAAGAACTTGGTAAGCAGGGAAACTATCTAGCAAAGAGCGATGTCTTACACATGATTTAAGACGTTTCTTAATTTTAAAACATGCGTAAAAAATTTCACTACTCTTTTCATACTTTGGCCTAACATCGACAGAAAAATAAACGGCGTGAAAAACAGTACGGGATTTTACTACAGTAGCACAGATAGCTGCTCATACCACCTATCTGGTACCTTGAAATTATTTTCAGTACCCCAGTATTCTGGATATTTGTGAAAAGCACAGATACTGTCGAGAGGCGAAGCGGATGATGCCGGAATTCGTCATTTCTCCCTTGAGTTTTCTTGTTTTTGACTAACATTTCTTGGTGCATACATTGTTAGAAAGACATTCTGTAACACAGATTTGTTTTACTGTCAAAACAATTTATGATCAAAATAAGATATGAGAAAAATTTCTTAACTGAAATAGTACTATTCTCCGAATGAGACATATGCGATTGTGAATATCTAAAGAAGTAAGTTAAATTCGAAATTTGTCACAGAGATGCGCCAATACGAATAGAACTTGTAATAGCCTGTCCTAATATACAACTCCATGTGCATGTATCAGCACGTAATGTCATGTACCCCAATACATTTATTACGATAACAGCATATATACCCTTGAAAAACCTAGAATTCTAAAATTCACATAATATCATATAATGACTTGTAATGTTGTGCAATCTTGAAAATGAGGGCGGCAACACAGACCCCTGCGAAAACATACACAGAGCATTGTAGTAGCTGATTACATGTGACTACATGTCATTACATGAGTTCTAGAATTCTAGTTTTTTCAGAAGTATATATGTTGTTATTGTAACACATGTCTTGGTATTAGAGATGTGCAAGATCAAGTCTTTTTGGTCGCGGTAGGGGTAGATTTTTTCTCTTGGCCCGATCCCAATCCCCGTGATGTTAGTTTTTCGGGTCCCGGTAATAGTTTCGATCAAGAGAAAACTATTCCAAAATTTATTCGTATCTAATCTAAAATATTTCCTCAATACTCGTTTTTCTTGATTTATTTAGTTGACAATTAGCACTTTTTGGATTATCTTTCTTGAATATGTTCTGATTCATATGATTTATAAGATAATTTATTTAAAACCATAGAATTTTTTATTATAAACTTGCGTTCCGGTACCGACATTTTTTCCTCGTGGTTCCTGCCCCAGCTCTGGTGGCCAGGGTGAGAATCGAGACTAGTCTCGCACATCTCTAATAGGAATACATGTCATTACAAGGCTTTACAAACCGTGACATGGCGGCACATGCGATGTTAGAGTGATTGTTTGTGCTGTGGGATGTCAGTCTTTTTTTGCATTACATTTTGTAATTGCATTCGCGCACCTCTCATTTTTCAGGACTAACAATGCATTCGACAACCAATCTTTTTATCGTACTTCTGCTAGTGATATCGATCGATGGTTTCGAATTGGAAAGCAACAACAAGGGTGTCTATGAGCAGTCGGTGTCCGGTCGTGGTCTGGCTGACTGCTTCGTATGGTATCATTTACAAGGTGATCCTGATGCGCTGTTGGTCAGTACACCGAAACCACCTTGTCAGGTGCCAACATCGTTCCCTAAAACGTTGACTGGCGGTTGGGTAATGGATCCTGGCTGTGATGCTTCGAAACAGCCAAACACTTGCTCGTTACATGTTGGTGCTCACTGCTGCTATCGAAATGCCTTCAAGAGCACGGGACCAGGTGCGCAGGGATGTTATGACAAGCTCGGCCAATGGATTGCAGATCCATGGCTGGGTGCCGGTACGGTCGATAAGGAGACGCCATTGGGTGATTTGTTTCAACAAGTCAAGCACGGTCTTGCCGATGTCATTCCGTATTTTAGCTGCTGCTATACTCTATTGGCGCCGCAGCCGAGCACTTGTAATCTTTATTATGAGAAACGACCACCCGGACAATGCGTATAAAATCTGGTTATTTTAAACTATTCTTCAAAAAATAATATTACTTCCCCCTTTTAAAAATAAATGAAGTGAAATTACTTACAGCACGGATATACATCGAACTACAACCAAAATCAAAGAATCGACCAGAAGTGTTTTACTAATTCTGAAGTGTGTGTGACATCATAATGATCAGTAATCTCATAAATGGATGAGGCATGTTCAGATTTCCGAAAAAGAAAATTTTCGGAAATTTCCATCAGGTCGATAGTCACATAGCAGTGCAAATTAAAGGTTTCAGAAACATTGAAAATTTTAGGAATTTCAGAAATTCAAGTCATTTCGATAAGTACTGAACCACGAAAATTTCTGAAATTGCATAATTTTCGGAAGTACGGAATGATTTGAAGGACAAATGCTTGAAATTTCCGAAACTTCTGAAAATTTCTTTTTTGGAAGTCTGAATACGGCTGTATCCGTATGAAAAAACCTTTGAACGACGTTCACCATTAGCCAAAAAATTAGTCCATTTGATTGAATCGATGCAGATATATTTCATTTTTCCATTGCAGTGCTATTTATGGGGTACCCTGTAATATTTTCGATGATCCGACCTGATCGTAGTATTTGAATCTACGACTATGGCTATGTCTCAATGTATATGCCATTGTCGTTTACCACCGTGATTATACACGTTTTTGGCGAATGTGGAGAGGGGTGATTTTTATCTCGTAATCCACATTAAATAGTATAAAAGTTTCTTTTTCAATAAAATATTATTTACTGTTCGTTTTGTTATTGAGACTGATCTAAATCAAAGAAAAGAAAGTTTTTTTTATAATAGAACTCTCTATTAAGATGATTAGATGATCTAAATAGAAGGAAAAAAAAACTATTCTTATAAAATAATGCTTATTCTTCAATGAGCTGATCAGATGATATTAATAAAAGAAAAAAAAATATTTTTAATTAACAATACTCACTGTTCACTTTTTCCGTCAAATGATCTCAATAAAAGAAGAAAAAATATTATTTAAATAAAATAATACTGGCTGTTCACTGAAATGTTCATGTGATAACTACCGCCAGTAAATCGCCACAATACTGATCAGTATCATGTGCGCTATTCCGACAGTTTTGTAGTGGGTGTGGTTAGATATAGGTGTGGGTGGATGTGGGTGTGCGTGAATGTAGTGAAGGAGACAACCCACAGTGACTCTCACGTCCACATCTACTAACATCCACACACCCTTGCTTTTTAAATTATTTTCTCGTACAGTTTCGACTGTTTTCAGAGGGATCAGATAAAGGTAATGAAGATTCATCAATTTGGAGCTTGTTAAAAAAACCGGACTTCTATACAACCCAGAATTTAAAAAAGAAGTTCGCTACAATTTTCTTTCGGTGTAAGTGTGATAAATTTTATAGCGATCAAACGATATGTCAGTTTGGGTTGATTTGAGTCTAGAGATGTTATTCGATCGACTCACTGAGGCACCGCTGTCACTGTTTGATGTCTGATATTCTATTAACAAAATTTCTCTCAAAGTACAAATCTCATACAAATTTGTTTTCATATTTCAATAGTTTCACAGATGTTTCGTTAATTTTCTCTGTTGAAAATTAATCAACAATTTTCATTCTCGTCTCGATGATTATTTAAATGAAGATTTTCTAAGAAAAATAACTGTCGATCAATTGCAGCAATATTCTACAAGAAAATGATTTAAGAGAATGAACTATTATTTGAAAGATGGATCGATCTTCATTAATGAAAATCTTTATTGTTTTATTTTCAAAAATAGATTAATGCAGTTCATTAGGGGCAAAAGTTGGGTATGGGCAATTTTGGTATCCATTCGATATTAACCAACGGTGAAGGATTTTGTATTAATAATGGAGATCCTCTCTTTATGGTTGGTTCAAGTACGAATGGTGCTGTGAAAAGAAGAAATGCATGTGTTAGTATCCATCCCATGTGTTTCGGAAGTTGAATCTTCATATTTGTTTCAAAACAACAGCCAATACCATGTAAAAAGAAAAATATAAATGTTGGAAATAGAGATGAGACATCATTAAAAGCAACGAAAGCTACATGAACATGAAGAAGACCACTGATAATAAATGTTGTTAAACCTCCAATTGTCGAAGATGAAAATTTCGAACGAATCGGTTCAAATATCGATTCTTTTAATACAGTTCCAATAAACCGATTGTATCTTTGACCCCAAAATTCTCGCAACGATAAACTGAACAGTGGAAAATTAGTAAATGATTCAACTGTATATTTATCTTGAGTGAAAATACGAACGAGAATGGTTAGTGAATCAAAAACATATGATATTGTTATCAATGATAAATAAAATAAAAAAATTCTTGTATAACTAACTCGTGTTTCACAACTAATCGACCAACGATAACTCCAATGATTTATTAACAATTTAACTGGAATTAATATGAAATAATATTTAATAGGCCATTCATTTCGTTTTGATTTTAAAGATAAAATAGGGAATAAAATCCAAAGAGTTTTGAATAAAAAAGACCGAAATGTTAATAATTTATCGATTGAAAATATTGTCAAATGAACTAAACGAATTGATATCATCCAACAAAGAGCTACTATTATTAATGATAATGAATCATATTGAGGAAAATTTTGACAAGTAATATAAGTAAATAATATACATGGAATAATTGTTAAAATAGTTCGAACTAAAGTATTACAAATAGGACGAATCAAATAATAACATATTATAATATGTCCAAACCAACCGATAAGGACAAATGGAGATAGCACCATGTTAACGACAAACTCAATTCCTTTTTCTTTTCGAAACAAACTCTTTTGTTATTACTATTTATATTGCAATTTGTATGCTCACATCACAACCTCATATCATACTTATCATTCTCTTTCTTTTATCAACAGCTTTGTTCCATACTTTAGACTTAAATAACTCAGAAAGAACAAAAAAAAATTATCATATCATTCGTATTAATATCCTGACTAATTTGTGCACAAGCGTCTCGATGAAGATACAGAAAATCAAACTAGTTTTATGCGAAACTATTTCATGTCATTACTGTAATCGTATAGTTAGATTTTCAAAAAGATCTCGAATGTGAACAGCTAGGCAATGTTGATCTTATATCCTTGATTTTCTTTGGTCGATTCTAATTCGAATACAGTTTCGATTGTCATAAGAATCTCATGTTCATCTTACATTTCACTATGTTTACATATTTTGCCAGATGGGGTCGTTGACATATTGGCTATGCGCTCGAATGTATTTCTTCTAGAATACTCACTTGATCGGTCGTTTGTGACCTAGTTAAAATTTTTTGAGCTAAATCTTTATCGAGACTAGTTGACACAAATGTATAAAGTCAAATCAATTTCTTTACGAAACTCGGAACGAGAAGCATGTTGAGCTCTGTTTTCGACATAACTGTACCACGGTAGACAATTAGTTTTTTATTTGAGTTACGTAGAGCTTCTTGTTCATGATAAAGTTTCTTCAGCTTTTGATACATATTACGCATGAATAAACGAACAATGAACAAACTATAACTATTATCAGTGTGGCAAGCTTGATTGAAAAGGCAGTAGGGGAAAATGTCTTTCGAATACTAATAAATGGCGTTCTTTGCCTGATATGCTTGATTGAAATCGTGAAGCTTATTTTCTTCTTGGATTAGGGAAAGAAAGAAAAAAAAATTCTGAAATAATATGAAAGTGATATTTATCTCTCTCTCTCTGACTATGGGAATAGAGTATTGCGTATGCAAATCTAAACTGTTAACTCCACAGCACTCGACGTTAGAATATCCGATGTGTACAAATGAGTTTGATGTGCTCGATAATTAGGCAGTTCCTATGTAGATTATTGGAATAGTCGTCGCTGCTTTGGAGTACAGCATACAATTTCGACGCATAAAGCACTTTATTTTGCTGATAAGAGCTCCAAGCGGCATGATTCATTCCGTGAGACGTCAATATTACGAACTGCGTAGCATAAATTCTACTGTGTGTCACAAGCATGATAAAGATACGTTGATATGACTTCAAATAGAATCTTTTTCTTTCTCGAATTTTTCGGACCAGATTTGGATTACCATGATACTAATAGAAGAATCTCAACTGATTGACGAACGGCCAACGACATCTTCACAACAAAAAGCTAGAAAGCAAAAGACTTATATTGATGAAATGACCCTATTCACTTCATAAAAACTTTTGTCAATCTGATCAAACTCTTATCAATCACTTGGATATTCATTAGTCGAAGATATTCGATCAATGTTGACTATTCTCAGTGAACATTTCATTAATTGTTGATCATATCTAATGCATTCCGATCAGGGGCGGCGGAACGTTTCCAAATCTGGTGAGGCTCAGTAAAAAACTTTTTTTTATTATCCTAAGTAACTTTTTTCTTCTATCAATGTCTTCATTGACGAAAGGGTGTGAATGTGGGTGGGTGTTGGCATTGGTTTATTTTCTTTTCTTCTTCGACATCCACACCAACACCCCAAAGGGAAAACGGCAAATTTCAACTCTTTGGAGTCCCTTGTAACCTCATGGAACCCTTGAAGTCCCATGGAATGCCGAAATATTTTCGATTTCCCTGCAAAAACCCTTTATAAAAATTAGAAACAGTTATTTCTTGATTTTTTTTGTCGATCATTATATCAGATAAGATAGAAATAATTGAGGAGATGGGTCGCAGCTATCTGGAGAGTGTGAGTCACGTTGGACAGAAAAAAGGGATCAGAAGCAATTGCCAGGTGCCAAATCGCTATTGGGTCGAGACTATGTGCATTTAGGGATGTGCAGTGTCAGATTACTGAACACCGACTGGCACCGACAGCGACACTCAGTGCACACCGATAGATTTAGTGTCACTGAGCACTGAAATATCAAACACACTGACACTGACGCCACTGGAGCACCGATGTCCAGTGCATCACGAATCACTGATGCACTGACATCCTCGGCGTCACTGGTAAATCAGGCACACTGACTCCACTGGCCGCTCATAATTACTATCGAAATTTTAATAGAAGGCAGGTGGAGAAAAAGCTTCTAACTTTCTAACGAAAAGTCATAGCGATGTGCGGTTTTCAGCAATCGATAGAAGATTATAGGGAACACATTTTTATATAAAAACCAAGGCTTAAATAATTAGTGATTGTGGAATCGCTGAAAGAGTAGGCTCGGGGTGTGGGTGGGTGTAGGGTATGGGGGTGGGTGTGAGTGTGGGGTGTGAGTGTGGACGTCGATGTTGCTGTTTGCTTCATCCAAATCCACCCACACCCAAGTTACCATGTAGTTCATATTCGGACAAGATTTGTCAATTGTTAAGGCTCCCCCTCCCCTCAAAAATCGATCTCAGCCCAGGTATGTTTAAATGGTATGAGATTTTCAGGATATGTTGGGGCTACAGTGGAGAGGGTATGGTAAAATTGTCAGCTCGATACCATGATGTTTGACAGAGATATGCACCAAACAAGGGTCAAAAATAGCTCATTTGGCAGACAAGATTTCTCTGTCGGGGCCCTATCAATATATTAAAATATTTTTTTTGTTTGAAAGAGCATCTCAAGATGCAGTGCCTACCCGAGTTCTTTTTTTTAATTCTTACTTTTTAAATGAAGAAAAGAGATCTCAAGTTCAATGACTCAAAAAATCCGCTAAAAATGGATGCCAATTTACATAAGTGACAATATATATAATAAAAATCAAGCTTAATTTAAAAAAAGGGCTCTGGTAGGCACTGCATCTTGACATGCTCTTTCAAACAAAAAAAGAAACATTTAAATACATCACATGGACCTGGACTGAGAAATTTGGATTGCGCGTTTGACATATCATGAACTGAGGAAAAACTAAAAAGATTTTCGGTTTTTTCCAAAAACAGCATATTTTTCGAATAGGGGATGACGCAAATCTTCAAAAATTTTTGAAAAAAAACGAGGTGCCGAGTAAAACTTTTTGTCGTTTGTGAGAGATCAGATCACGGCTATCTTCCCCTGCATTTATCTTAATTTCGATCATTCTGATGAAAGGTGACTTTTTTGAGGGGGGAGGGGCTTAAAACATATGTGTAGAAAAGAAACCCACACCCACTGAGATTTGATTTTTTTTGTTGAAAAGATAAATGAGTTATAGACCTTAATTTCTCAATAGTCTGTTCTTTTCTCTTTTGCACACATCGTCTGTTGCATCTCGAATTGATGCATGTTACAAAAGGAAGCGAGAAACAATAATGATTTAATATTCAACAATGTAAACCATTATAAATGTAGATTAGTGGTTTTTAAATAAAAATTTTTAATTTGAATCGTGTTCTAGCTTGTTTTTGCAAGTATTGCTAGGAATATTCCTATTATAGCAGTAAAGGAAAAAATCATCATTGTCTATACCGAGGAATTCGAGAAATAATGTTTTATAAATTTTCATAATTCATACAATATTGATTATGGCATCTCTTTCACTTCTTTTTGTCATTTTTTTTCTTGTACAAAAACGAATCAAAACTCTTGATATTTAGAATATGGATGCCTACAAAAAAAAATGATGAAGACAAAAAAAAATGATGAAGACAAAAAAAAATGATGAAGACAAAAAAAAATGGAAGCTTAAGTTATTTACTATAGTTCCGACAGAGACAATGCGAAGTACAAGAAAAAAGTTTCTATTTCTTATCATTGTTAAAAATGAACAGGATTTGTTGAGTAAATTATTTTCATGAATATTGAAGAACATAATCGATAGATGAACACTATGCATATATGCAACTATACAAAATGATTAGATTATATGGTTCGAGTATCCAGGATGATATTCTATCAAAAGAGAAGAATCGGGATTGTAGTGAATTGAACGAAAACTACAGGTATGCCATGAGCATCTTCTTTTATTAATTCAGTTTCATTGATACTTATATTTATCACATGATGTCGAATCAAGTATGCACACGATTCTTTTACAAGATAAAAAATGAATCATTTGATTTTTCTGGTTACCAGTAATTATGTTCTGAGTTGTACGAAAAGTATACAATTAGTCTAATTAATTTACTACAAAAAAAATAATAAATAGTACTCAACAAATGGATTTTCTCATTCTTATTTAATGAAGCAGAATGTTTTCGGTTTCAAATCATCATATGTTAGAGTATTCGAGCAAAACACCATATGTACTATTCAGGTCTATATTATGTAGATTACTGATTATTACTAATGAAAGTCGTCTCGTTCTTATTTCTTGGGAATAAACGAGATCTAGTTAATAACGATAACTGATAAATAAAATCATTCATCGATACGAGTATGTAAAATATAAAACTTTATTAAAATATCGTCAACATTCGGATTACAAGCGTAGAATAAATAGCATCAGTGATGAATTTCAAAAGAAAAAAATACATCATTTGGTATTATTTTCATTAATTCAAAGAAATCATTCGAGATGTATGTTCCCAAACTTTTGCAACCATATCTTCTTGTAATGGAATCTTTTTTATTACTGTTCGTCCTTTATTATCGACATATCTACAACCTTTGTCTGTTCCAAGCATTCCATGCACCATTAGTTCAGCACAATCTTCTGGAGTAATTCCTAAGCCTATGGCTAAGCTACATTTTAATGGTAATCGAGCCCAAAAAGGTAAATTATCGCTCAGATTTGTGCGTACAACTCCTGGATACGCATGAGTAAATGTTACATTTGTATTTTCTGGTTGTGAGGCAAAATATTGGATAGCATGATCAGTAAATGATAATGCATGATTGGCAGCAGACGAAAGAGAATATGTATTTTCAAGTGCCATATCATTCCAATTAATTTTAGATGGATTTCCATTAACACTGTCCAATACAAATAGAACTTTACCACCATTTGGTGATGACCGAAGTAGTGGAAGAAGTTCTTGTACGAATAAAATTCGACCGTAGTAATGTAAAGCCAGTTTATTGTCAATATTTTCTATTGTTGGTGTTCGACCAGTCATAGTTAAAATACCTTGAGTTAGTACTAGCATGTCAACAGCGTTTATCTTCTTTGTTACGGCTCGAATTTCAGACATTAGTGAGACATCAGCACGAAGAAATTTTGGATTTGAACCTAATTGTGGTAGAATATCATTGGCAGCAGATTCATTTCGTCCAATAATGGTAATATTAGCAGATGGACAATGCCGAGCTATTGAAAGAGCTATTGCTCGACCAATACCTGATGTACCACCCACGATAACAACATTTGGAGGTGGTTGTAAAGAAGAGAGGATACGAGCGTTCGAAGCAGTAGCTGCTCGTACAGTGGCAGCCATTTTTAGTGTATAACTCTAAAAAAAAGAGAAATGTAAACTAAATGGTATTCTTGAAAGAGTTGCATATACAGAAACGAGAATAGAAGAATACCATAAACGATTCCTTTTTTAATGATGTAATTAGTCAAATGAATCTATCTGAACGAAGAATAAAGTACTGGAACTGAATCGGTTTGCATACGATTCTAAATAATTCTTATTGACTCTGACTTCCAAACAAAAGATAAGTTGACTCCCTTGATGAAAGATAATGGGTCACTCAGTTTTTCTCATGAACGCTAAGTAAAATTCAGATTCAATAGTAAAAAAATTATTTTTTCTAATTTCTTTGCACAAGTAAGGCTTTGATAGAACTAATGTTACGACAACCAGATCTTTTGAGAAGAGAAGAACATGTCTGCTGCTCAAGGTTAACGATTTTGATCATATTTCTACGAATTTCTAAATTTAAAAAGAGCATATCCAGTATATTTTAACAGCATTCAGAGTTAACGATGAAAACAACAAAAACACGAAATAAAACCGCTGCTATCCTTCATCTTACTTCAATGACTTGTTAAATTTAAGGTCTGCATTCATTAGTGAACAATTATCTCTTATTTCAAAATCAAAAAAATAATTTGTTTATAATTACTGTCAGCATGTGATGGCTTTCGTAGAGTAATTTTCATTTCTTGTAATTTTCTGCAGTTTAGAATTCTCTATTGTATAGTATATGACAGAGAAAGCTTAAACTTTTACGTACTATTAAAATAAATTTGTTAAAATTTGAAGGAATTTCTTCTGAGTTACTCATAATTAAATACTTTATTTTGTTCTCACTCTGCTCTATACTCTACTATCACACGTTTTATTGAATTGCATTCATTTTATCTAATGCTCTAATAACCTAAATTTGGATTAGTTGTCTTTTTTATTTTATTAAAATAGAATTTTATTGCACTTAATATAACGTCTATTTTTTCTCAATGCTTATTACCTTATCTATACATTATTTAGTATAAAGTATGCATTTACTAAAACAGCAAACACTTCGGGTCTCCTGCGTAAATAATTTAATAAATCTATACTTATCATTATTTTCATAGATTACTTTATTTCAGAAAATATTTGTCTTCTGAAGCGATAAAATAATGCATTAAGAAAAGTCAAGTGTCTGACGACAAAATTCAATAAGAAACTTGGCTGAAATAAAACAATATGCATATTTGCTTTTTTTGTGTTGAGAAGACTACACTAAATGTCACAATGATGACGCACTCATAATTTACTCGCTTTACGTTGCAGTTTGTAATCGTATACTTACGTTTTTGTATAAATGCAAAAGTATATTACATCTTTTCTCTTCTCAAAATCTCATGCACACATGATATTTGTGAAAGAATGAAAGAACAGAACAAAAAAATAATCAATACATCCCTGAATTAGAGAAGGCACAGTTGTTTTTTTTTATAGCGTAGCCCAGTTGAGAATGGAAAGAAAAGAACATTAATTTAGCATTTGAATGACATGTGGTTCAGAAAAAGAGATATTGAACCGACTCAGTTTTGAATAGGTAAAACAGACAGAGTTTCAGTTAGCACATGTCAAAACAAGAGAAGCAATAAATATCTATCGATCAATTATAACTTTGAGCTAATGCTTGTGATCTTATATTTATCCAAGTCTATCAAATATCACTGGTTTTGCTCCAATGCTTTTCATTCACATATGCCGCTGGTGACATACTGCCATCCTATATTTATTGTTTTGATAATTGTAAGTTTATGAAACATGTGGCGGAGAAAACCCGAACACTCAATGCTTGGAAGTTTTGTTCGAGGTCTTCACGTACAATAAAACTTTTTTTTCCACAGATAACAAGATTAAAGGTCGCCCTTCGAATTCTCTATCGAATTTGATTGATTCTTGCGTCACTTTTGAGCGACTTGTGAAGATAATTGTTTTATGTGAACAACACTAATGGTCGATTAATACTAGATTTAACAAAAGTAGAATTCCCTTAGTTTATTAACAGGCTCTCTAGTTACGTATTTGATTGCTATCTTGGACCGTAACTTTGTGAAGAAATCGTATTTGAACTAATTTGAACATGAGTTAGAATGAATAAAGTCAACATGTTCTTAAAACCTCTTACTAGTTTGCCGTATTCAATTTATATGAATTGCAAAACCTCAAATAGCCAAATACCATCGGTCATGATCACCTGAAGTTCCAACTTCCACTGAACAGAATCGATGAGCTATTCCAGAGTTTTTCAGTTATGAACGGTCATTACGAAGCTTTTAGCAATATTAGACACAAGAATTCAGTTAAATTTCATTTCAGAACAAAAGGACAGAGATTGTAACAAATTTTTCTTGATAAAAATCGAAACTGGTATTGTCTGAAGTGGGTTCTAAAATTACAATAACATATGATGCAAAAGTAATGGCACAAAATGTTGATTTATATAACTCGTTGATATGTACGATTGGAAAAGAATATTTTTTGATCAATTGATAGAAAGATTTCTCCTCTTTCAAGTAGTGTATGATTAATATTTATTATGCTCTCCTTTCTACCCGCTATCAAGAAGACATATCAAACTTATTCTTTTGCCTTGTTTGGACTGAAAGGTCAACAAGAATAATGAAAAAAAATTGATAAATAAGAAAATTAAAAAAATAAAACGAAGTAATAAATAAGCAAAATTTTTAAGTAATCAATTAATAAATTCAACAAGACGTCGGTTATACAATTGTATTGCAATGCCGCCAAGAAGGAGCGAATATAGTCGTGGAAAATTAAAAGGTGAACAAGACAATCCAACCACTACCGCACCTCCACAGCAGATACTTACAGAGAGATGAGTGAGCAGAACACCAACATCCATACTTCACTGATGCATAGTGCAGTTTCACCAAAATATCCGAAACTGGAATATAAGTCTCAACCGATACAATACGTAAAAAATTAAAATACTTAAGTAATAAAGGGTAGTCCAAAAGTTTCGTCCCTTCTCAGTAAATCGATCATATCTATAATAAATTTACATGAAGTTATTGTTAGAGGCAAAATTAGAATTCAGGCAAATCTTAGATATTGTCCAGGCAAACTTGGAATTCCGATTTTGACTGGTTAATATTAGAATTCTAATATTGACTAGACACTCATTGAGAAAAATTGGAATAGGATAAATAATTTTTATGGAATAATATTTTTTCCTTTCACTAAACACTTTACAAGGTAGGACAGGAATCTTGATTTTGGATGTCAGGCAGCTTTGCCATCTCTTGAAATAAAAAAAAATGGAAAAGTCAGTAGGAAAATGGTGTTGGTAAGTGTTTTTCATTTGCATCCACATCCACACCCTCAAGCAGACTAATTTATTCTATTTTTGTCCTAAGACCTAAGAAAACTATCGTTGAAATTAATACAGCAAAACAGAACCAACTTATTCTGTTCATTCCAATATAATAAATGACAACTCTCAAAATAACTAAACGGGAAAAATTCAATTCAATTCAGTTATCCGATTGTAATTTTCTGATCCGGCAAGTCAGCAGTAACAGAATAACTAAATGAAGAAGAAATAGCATGGCTAGTTTTCTAATTCAACTTCCATTATAAAATGTGCAAGACCTTTTAAGATAATTAAACAAAGGCAACGAAAATAAATCTATCGTTTCTGTTTCTCTCGGGACAAATACGCGAAATACGAACGTAGTTATGAGAAGAAAATGACACGAAAGTATGCTATTCAGTTATTCTTTTTATAAAATGCATAATCACTTTCAGGACATCTCAACAATGAAAAAGATAAATTAAACAAAACAGTCCTTTTTAGTTTTTATCACAAAAATGATGAGAAAAAACGGAATAACCAACTGAAAAAAAAGCAAAAGAAAGCATTTTTTTCATCCTAGTGTTTCTGTAAATTCTGCGATAACTGTCAGAATCAGTAAAATAAAAAAGAAGTAAACTAAACAAACTTCTTCCGTTTTACCGTTAGGTTTTTCTCAGAAAAATGATGAGCAACACTCAGAGTAACCAACTGAAGAAAAGAAAAGGAAAGGGTTTCTTTTCATTTTATTGCTTCTGTAAAATCTCCAACAACTATTGGAATAAGTAAAATAAAAATAAAAAGGGTAAACTAAACTAGCTTTCTCCGTTTCTTTGTTAAAAATGCAGTTAAATTACATAGTTAAATGATGAAAGAGAAAAATATATTGGACCAATCGATTTTGATGGCGCGCACAGTGACACATAACCATGAGAATAAATAAATGAAAAAAAAAAGAAAAGAATATGACGAATGAGTTCCATTGCTAGAAGTGTCATGAGAATGAAATCAAAAAAGGAACTTACAGTAAGTAAACCATTCTGATTTTTCTCAGAAAGTGGTGAACAAGATTCGGAATACTTAGAAGTGTAAGCCGTGCAGCTAGGCCGTTGCTGTGAGTATTAAAATTTTTTACAACCATCGCCGAAGATTTAAAAAAGTTGAAAATTTTTCGGCTTCGTCGCCGCTCGTCTTGTCGGCTTACACCTCTGAGAATAACGGCACAGAGGAGAAAACGGAAACTGTTTTTCTTTTCATTCCATTACAGTTGGAAAATCAGGAAGGGCAGCTTTGCATTAGCATTAGAAAAACGCTAATATCATACAAATAACGAAAAACAGAAATGTAGAATCAGTTTTCTATGCACAAAGGATATTTTATATAGCAAAGTATAAAATATTTATTCATAATATTATATACATATGCTGATAACAAAACTGATTCAAGTGACGTAGTGTTTCATGTTAACATCATTCCTAGAACTATGAAATGTTATTTAAAAAAGATGAACACAACAAAATCTTTAATTATTAATGAAGAAGATTTTTGGATGAACCAAAAGAAACCAAATACTTATCTATAAAAATTTTACTACGTTTTAAAACAAAGCGCTGTCTTCTAAAGCTAGGATGGGTGTGCGTGCTTTGTTGAAGAAAAGAACAACACCTACGCTTACATCGACACCTTCTAGTTATTCTGAAAGTTATTTTTGTTTATTTTAGGATACCTGTAACATTGCGATCACTAAGTGAGAAGTTAATCATTTGTCGCGATTGTTGCAAAAATCTTCATTTGTGTCCTATATACAATGGGGAGCTTATCACCAATATTTCCATGACCCAACCGATGATATAAAAGAAGCACGACAAAAGCTAGAAGACTACTGTTTTCAATCTGATCTCACGAAAAAGATCAGCATCAAACCCAATCAACAACCGATCGGACATGGTGCCATGAATCGAGTCTTTCGCGTGAAAAATACTTATACTATAAAATGTGCTCTCATCGAAAATACGATTGACATAGAAAAAGCTCTATTCATGAAATAGTTATGTCTCATCCTTTAGCACATGAAACTAATTTAGTAACAGTGTATGGTTGTCTTTGTTCACCACATCATGGCATTAGTATTTCCATGGAATATGTCAGTAAATCGTTACTTACTGCTGCTTTCGCTAATAACTCAACGATTGCCAGTAATTTATCTATTCGAGAACGTTTACACATTGCGTTGGGCATGACCAAAGGTCTGAATAAGCTGCACTTAGTTCAGCTTACTCATCCTGATTTCAAGCCAGAAAATGTACTTCTTTCTCGATTGTTCAACGGTAATTACATGCCAAAAGTAGCTGATTTTGGCGTCAGCTTTCAGTTAATTATCACTTCAGCTAAGTTCGTCAAAAAGTCGAGAGATACTGCTGATTATGATGCACCAGAAGTGGCTGTAGATAATAAAATACCATCTGTAAATTCACATATTTATGCTTTAGTCTTTACTCTCTCTGAACTATTGCCAGCCTAACGTGTTTTTTCTAGCACAAATTCTGGCGAAATTCACTATGCGCGGCGAACGTCCACATAATTGGCCTGATTGTATACCAAATCTTCTGAAACATGTAATTGAACGGGTTTGGTCCGCAGTGTCTGATCAGAAAACAGTCATTAGTGAGATCACTTGTGCCATTCGAAATTCTCTTAACTCGAACCAACAATCATGCATTGAGATGCTCTAGCAGACTAATGCGCTACGTAAGAAAGTGGCTTCTGTTCAATTTGAATGGTTACAACCATCGGTACTATTTCTATTCAATGAATTTGTTAAACGTGTGACGATCGATGATTATGAGGTGGTGCAACTGTTCATCAATAAATTGCCTCCAAATTTATAAGACAAATAATCATAAAATGAGTGGCACATTCAAAAACATTCAAACGTGATCTTTGTTATAATCCACGTTGTCGGAACTCAGTCGTTTAAGAGAGGCTCGACCAACCCATCGAGAATCGCTGCCACATGCTCAAAAAAATGTTTATTTTTTTTATCTCATTCAATTCCTTGAAATCAAGTAAGGTTATAAAATTTTTTTAGATTTTCAGAGGCTTTTATGATGGAGTTATAAGCTTGACAACTGGATGGGATGCGTATGGATGTGGGTGTGTATGAACGTTCTGTGCTTTAGTGTAGCGTATATTCATAAACCTACACTTACATCCACGCCTGCATCACCCAAAGTTCATACCCTTCTACAATTTTAAGATCTATCTATGAAAATAACAAAATTTTCGTATTTAATTGTAATTCTTGCGAATTGAAATTGCTTTGTTTCATCAACGAATAATTAGCAGTGAACAAGGACGCATCTTATGAGACTTATCAGAACGTTATGTTCTGAGTGTAGGTATGAACAAATGAGAGATTACACCCACACCCGAATCAGTTATCATGTAGTGGTGTAAAAACAATAGATAGAGCTAAGTCCAATTTAATCTTACCACACTTTCATGACCTAAAATCTCTAGAAGTCTTTTTCGATACAAAAATTCATACGTATCTGTTGTCTGTTTAAAAAATGGTTTTTTTTTATTAATTCGACGTCATAGTTAACCTTTTGAGTGGTTTTGACGTATCAATCGAAACGTCTGTTGGACTCTCGACAACATAAATAACTGCAGCGTTCAAAACCACCTCCGGAAAACTAATTTCAATAAACAAAAATTTCATATTTCTTATTTTTCCGGCGGAGAGGGTAATAGAAAATCAACCTTCGGTTTATTGAGAAAAATTTCATACAAATACCATAGCAAATGACAGTGTGCAATCCTAAATCATGAACTAGATTTACGACAATATATAACATGTAAGCAGCTTTGCTTTCATCGATTTCATGCCATTTTGACTCGACGGATTGTTGTCAAGAATCATGACTATAACTTTCAAATAATTCAATGTTTCTCTTCTGTAAATTTCAATCAAGAGAGCACACCAAAATGTATTCTCTAAGAGCGTTTTCAAAAGTAATTGTATGTTTTTGAGCATTCTAACTGAATATTAGTTTTGTTATGCCTTCATACAATCGCTACTTTTCACAGATTGTGGAAGCAAAACAAGAAAGTCTTTGTCATATCTTTTGAGAGAGCGAAATTGTCAAAAAAAGAGAAATCATTCTCAAGGACAGACAAACAAATTCGTTGACTCTTGAAGAACACTTCTTCCAACATCAACTTCAACTATTCCTTTATTTATGCGCCAGAGAAGTCCAATAATACCAAATACGAATTTCATTTCTATTGTTTATTAAAAAAACATCTTCCTATTGAATGTTACTGGCGCCTTAACAACATATTTTACACACTTTTACAATTCAATTCAGATCGAGCAACAAAAAAAACTATTGAAGTATCGAGTAGCTATTCTTCTCTACGCAAAAAAAACTTTTTCTCATACGAAGAATGAGCAGGTAGAAAAACAAAGTTGTTTGTTATTCTTTCTTTGTATGAAAGCAATCAGTCACTTTTTATTTTACCGCAGCAGTCAATTGCCTAGTTTTCGTTTATCGTTTTCTACGAATATCGTCTGCGAAGTATTATTGCAAAAAGACTCCATCTAAACAGGTGAAGTGTCATTTGTAATCTAAAAGATCTTCTTTGTGTTTCTGTATTGTAAATGGACAACGATTGAACTATGGTGAACATTTCGAGAATGTCGTTTGTATAATAAGTCATTAGTGACTCTGTGAGAATGCACTTTTGTTGCTTGCATACAATTAATGTATTTTTTAGATAACAATTTGTTTAAGCAAAATGGCGAGAAGTAGTCAATTCAAGTACATCGATAAAGAGTCCGTTGGCTCTGCTTTACTATGCTCAATCTGCAAAAGACCTTTCGAAGATCCACGATGTACTCCATGTAATCATATATTTTGTCGCAATTGTATAATTAGGTGGATTGCAACAAATAGAGAATTATGTCCTGTATGTCGAAAGTTTGTGTCAATTGATAGTTTATCACAAATCAGCTATACTTTGAACAATATGCTTGATTCACTTCAAGTCAAATGTAGCCTCTGTGGACGACCAGATATACAACGAGGAAAGTTCAATGATCACATTAATCAATCCTGCCCATATGTTCTTATACCCTGCTTGTCAGCAGATGTTCAATGTCCGTGGATTGGAGAGCGAAGTCAACTTAATAATCATTTGTCCACGTGTGTTTTCCATCCTATTCGATCTGTACTTATTCAAGTCTTTGCCGAAAATCGACAGCTCAAAGAACAGTTCCAACAACAGATAAATCAAAATCAGGAACTTCAAACCGAAATTCAACACCAAAAAGTTGAAATAGAACGTCTTCGTCAACAATTCAATCAACATGAGTCTCAGATTAACAATTTAACAAACCAAATAGCAGGTGAGAATACAAGAGAATATTCATAACAAATTAAGTAGTGATCTTCTCGAGTCTAGACCTAGTACATATA